CCGTGTGAGTAGGCGAATGGTTGCTCCGTCACGGAGGCTGCACGATTTGGCTGTAAAGTTTGCACTTGACAAGGTGAACTCCGGAGCTATAAGCGGCATCAGATGCATGCACATAGTGATGGAACCGCGATCCTGCGGCACACTGCTTTTGGAGCTGGTGCCAGGCGCTCTTGGGTGCGATGAGCTGCTGGTGAACCATGATACTTATCATTTTATATGCAGTGACATCATTTCAGAAAGCGGTGCTGGTCGGCGCGATTTGTTGCCGCTGAGCGGTCTGGTCGGGCACTTTGTGTTGCCTTGTTTGTTATGAACACATGAACACATGTTTTGCTGCCAAGTGACTTGCGCAGTCAATATATGTGGCGTATGGTTCTAATCAGCATCGTTGTGTTCTGTATGTTATGCGTGAATAGAGCCAGTCAGCATTTTCAATAAAAGATATGATTTATGATGTATCATGTGTTCAGAAGATACCTTAAACTTAAAATGCATTAATTTATTCTGCTGCGCTGGCGCCATTTTATTGTTGAGGCCATAAATTGAATTGGGAAAACTTATAGTGATGGAGACATGCGCATATCATTGTGGTTATAGCAGTATTAATGTCAAGGCTTCGAAGAAAATTTGCCCATTATAGGTAATCAGTTAGTGCACATCTGCAGCTTTGCAGGAGTTTTTCCCGATCAGCATTGTGCCGCATAGTTAGCTGACGGCTGTCCTATCACGACTCCTTACAACCGTAGACCCCTTTTATAGCCGTGGATTGACAATCCTACAGCTCGGCTCCACGCTCATAACCGAGCCCACCGCGTTTTTGTTGAAACACACTGGGTAAGCTTCGGAACGAAGTGCTCTCCTCCGTAGCCTCCGCGTTAAGGGTACAGCGAGTAATCCCTGGTCAGTTACCCTGCGCACCGTTCGCCGACCCCACGTGACCTCTCACCGGGTTCCGACCTATTTTGACCTATCACCGGGTCACGAGGATCCCTTGACCTTCGGGCAGCGACGCGTCGTTGAGCTGAGGCAGACGGCTGAAGTGGAGCCGACCTCACGACAAACATATGCAGAAAAATTTAAAAGTAGACGGGGGACCGATAATGACTTATTGACATTTCAAAGTGCTGATCTACAGATGTACGTGTGGTCCCTTGAAAGTGTGTTTTTAAGCTGTGCCAGGGAGCTGAAGAACTCTACAGAGTAGAGGACTTCAAGAGTTGTTGACCCAGCGGCAGAGGGCAACGGGTTGGATTAGGTACATAACTTGGAGAAGCTCGAGTACGGGTGTAGGTACGACGTTAACAAAATGTCGGGCAGATGCTTTAAGACATAATAAGCTTCATTCACACTTCTTTTGTAGGTTTTGGCGCAAATAAATAAATTTGCAGGTAAATCTTCTTGGAACCTCTCCAAGATTTAGAACTAAGCTGCCAGAAATAACTCCAGCAGGTTGGCAACGCCAGCAGGTTGATAACGCCAGCAGGTTGGTAACGTCAGCAGGTTGATAACGGCAGCAGGCTGATAACGCCAGCAGGTTGTTGACGACAGCAGGTTGGTAGCGGCAGCAGGCTGGTGACGCCAGCAGGTTGGTAACGCCAGCAAGTTGGTAATGGATGGGTATGGGCAGACGTAGCATGCGTAGGAGTACAACAGCCCTCGGAGAGGCAGACGCAAAGGAAATTATAACTGCACAGGCCTCGACCACAGTGCATGAGTAAAACCAATTTTCAGGCATGAATTTAAGGCCCAGGAACCGTGCATTTCAGGGTGCCTGGTGTATAAACGTGCTGCCCGTGCATTCGTTGAAACCTTCACATTTGATCACCCCGGCAGCTGTTCTGTTTGATACCAGCACCTTCGAGTTTCCCACTCTTTCGCCGCATGCATGTGACCAGAGCATGAGGCGCGCAAAGGCTGGTCATCAAGTTAAGGCTGGGTTGTGATGTTTACATATGTTGCGGGTGCAGAAGGCAGGCTTCTGAGCCCAGTGCGCCAATTCATGTGCATCTGTGGGCGTTAGGAACCTTAGCCTGACCTGACCTGACCTGACCTGACCTTAGCCTCCTGACGTGATGTTAGTAACTGATCGCTTCTGAAACAGCATGATACGGGTGACAGCAATTTACACAATTGACACGACAATTATGTCCCGGTCTGAAACACCACAGCTACTACTTAATCATTTTGAAAATTGGTCTTCAGCTAGCGGTTTCATTTAAGTCCGATTTAGATGCAGCCACCGTCTGGCACAATGACTGAACAACACCCTACACTTCCTTTTCGAGTTCTTTACTTCCAAGGTTTGTTTGGTTTTCCTTCCGGCGTTCCCACCCTACCAATAACACATTTTTCGGCCCCATATTTGAATACCCTCGAATCGGGGCTGGCTGAAGCCTGAAGGTGGAACGGACAACGAAAGAAACGCTGCTCTCGAAAACCGCTCGCACGTTTTCCGACATTGACAAGAGGGCAGATATCCTGTTCCCCCCTCCTCAGCAGTGTCATATGTGCCATCTCGACCTCTCTGCCGACCATCAGGTCCTGATGCTGGTCTCCCAGGACCTCACAGAGGACATACATTGTCCTCTGCATGTCTGAAGGGCACTCCTGATTTACTGAAATGCTTTGTCCCGGTCATCCAAGGCCTCGCGCCGTCTCATCTGACATCTCATCTCATCGCGCCGTCTCATCTGACTCCACCAACGCACGACAGCTGACCGACGTTGGCAGGCATTCGTTTTCCGATGCACGGACATAACGCAGCCATGCTTTAAGCTGACGTCTGACTTCAAATAACTCGTTTTCATAAATAATTAAAAATGGTTTATAGATAGTAATTATTAATTATAATAATAGATAAATAATGTTAATCAAGGTATAATTAATATTATATATATATATATATATATATATATATATATCAAAAACATACATAATAATACAATATATTAATATATACAAGATAAATCAAAATGTAAGTAAAAAACACATAGAAATAAATTTGTATTACTGAAAATAACATGAACAACATAACTAATAATATAACGTATTAATGTTAACAAGGTAAATATATATCATTAACAGAATACTATTAGTTAATGATCATCATAAATAATTTCATAAATGATTCAACTTCAAATGTCAATCCGTTCACTTCGTCGGTTCGAAATGGCAGAGATATTGCACCAGTCACATGACGCCAGCGCCATGCGTGATTGTCGAAGTTTTATCTTAGCTCTGAGACACAACGAAAACGACAGTTCACACTTTCCTTCTCCAAAAAATAATATATTAGTTCGCCACGCGCAAAAGCACACCACTCACCCCAGAAGGAGCAGGGGCTCGGATATTATCGGCACGACAGTGTATGACACCGGAAAAAGGTTAGCTTGGTGGGACGTGCAGAAAGAACATGCAATATTTCTTCATTTGGAGTGTTTTCTTCAACGAGCACGACTGTTGCCAGAAAGCGATTTATCGCGCGTGTGACAGCACCAGTTGCAATGTGAATATAAGTTGTAAGCCAACGTGAATGTGGTAGCGCTGGCGTTCAGCAGCGATGGAAGCCCCGTGTAGCGACCACGTGCCTTTTGCATATCACCCCCCCCCCCCCCTACGTTTCCGCTTTGTCGGGCAGAATCATTGGGCGCTATTCAAAACCCTGTGTGCACACCCCATTACACTACCCCACAGTCTTGGAAAAGTAACAAACACAGGAGTCAAACATTCAGGTCAGTCCAGAACACTGTTTTGAATAAACGGACCCAGCTCGGTTAGCACGTTAACGGACCGCATAAGCAGTCAAAGGCGGTTCACGGTGTAATTATTTATCGTCAAATCATGCTTCCCAAAGGCAAAACGAAAATGAAATGGACACGAGCGGTCCCGGATTTGTTTCCACGTTACATTTACCGGCATGCATATGTTGTGAGAATTCAATATATGCAAGAACTAGCTACCGAGCCAACACACTGACATGTAAAGCTCACCTGGAGAACATTTCGTTGACAAACAACGTACCAACCTCCTGATCTTGGCGGCGTGATGGCCCGGTGATCTCTGATCTCCTATCTCCGATCTCTGATCTCTGATCTCCGACCTCTGCTCTCCTATCTCTGATCTCCGATCTCTGATCTCTGATCTCTGATCTCTGAGCTCCGACCTCTGCTCTCTGATCTCCTATCTCCGATCTCTGATCTCCGATCTCTAATCTCTGATCTCTGCATGCCCGATGGCCCGGGCACCCACGGTCTGGTCCCGGCACCCACGGTCTGGTCCGGGCACCCATGGTCTGATCCGGGCACCCACGGTCTGGTCCTGGCACCCATGGTCTGATCCGGGCACCTACGGTCTGGCCCGGACACCCATGGTCTGATCCGGGCACCTACGGTCTGGTCCGGGCACCCACGATCTGGTTCTGGCACCCACAGTCTGGTCCGGGCACCTATGGTATGGTCTGGGCACCCACGGTCTGGTCCAGGCACTACCACAGCCCACGGCCACGGTGAACAACTCACACATTTGAGTGCATTGTAATTATAAGTCACAAATGCCGCAAAAGAATAAATAGTGCGACTCAATGTGACGAGTGACGAGCTGGTCGTCCGCGGTTTTTTTAATCAAGCCTCAGCCGTGGTACAGCCGGGAAGTCGTCCGTGTTTTATTCTACGGTGTCTTCCTCACCAAATGCGAATTAATCATGTTTGTGTGCCAGTATAAATAAGACACGATCTGATAAACGTCGGGGGTATGAGTCAATAGGAAACGGTCCGCTGGTCCGCTGGTCCGCTGGTCTGCTGGTCCGCTACACTGCCCGTTCGCTGGTCAGCTGGTCTGTCGATCTGCCGCTAATCCGCTGGTCTGCTGGTCCGCTGGTCCGCTGGTCCGCTGGTCTGCTGGTCTGCTGGTCTGCCGGTCTGCTGGCCACTCGTCAAAAAATGGGCGGGCCATGACTCCCCACCTCCGTCGTGCTAAGCTCTTTAAAACTGCACATCAGCGGCTGCAAGTTGGGCCTTGTATTTGCAACAGCGCCGCACCGGCATTCGGACGGGGTGGCAGGCGAGGCAGGGCAGGGCAACAGGGCAACAGGGTAAGTGGCTCCTGCGCTTCACACCGCAAAATCCACGCCGTGACGTCACACCGCGACCGCGACGCGGGTTCGTTAGAACAGGTGACGTCACACTGCAGCCCTGACGCAAACTCGTTAGAACTGATGACGTCACGCTGCGACCTAGCATCGGGTTCGCTGGAAGCACTACGGTCACGGCTCTGGACAGGCGCCGGCCGCGTCGAGCGCGGTCGTGGAGCCGGCGTCGCCGCGCGGCGGCTCGCAGCCCCAGGAAGACATCACTGCGGCCGAACTGACGCTCGTTCCTCACACGCTAGCGGAAGACGAAGCGACAGGGCGGGTGTGCGAGCGGACGCACGCGTCGGCGGTCGCGCGGCCGTGCTCGCGCGGGGTGCTCGCGCGGGGTGCACGCGGCTATGACTAGGGGCGTGCGCTCGGTGCGACTGGGGGCGCGTCTTTGGAGGTGACTAGGGGTGCGGCACGGCCGGCATGCGGCTCGCCACCTCGCGCCACGGGCCGCCCGACGGATACGTGCCGGGCACGCGGGTGATCGCGCGCCAGGGGGCCGTGGACCCGAACCATCGAAGAACTGAAGAGCCGGAGTCCTCTCCTCATCTCTCGAGGAGGAGAGAATCTGCGAGTCGCAAAGCGCCGTTTTCACTGTACGCGGCAGATTAGTCAGCGACGTTTGACCAGGACTGCCCGGCAAAACAGCTTAAGTAAAGCCGACTGCGCGCGGCCTGTACACCTGCCGGGAGGAAAGATTCCAGTGCAATGGTTGGATAGCCCGTGCACCCAAAGTGCTGACCTCTTAGCGCAAACCCGTTGCCAGTGTCAGCCGTTACACACTTCACGCTAGCGTATAACGGGGCACACACATACACATACACGCCTAAGAAATTATGCATCTTCCACTACTGCTACGTTGATGTCTTTCTACGACCTGACATAAATTCTCGTAATTCGCGACCTACTACATGTACATCGAGCCTCTAAAAACGACACCCACCGTTCTACGGTATCAATTAACAACTCACATCAACGTTTACAACTAAATAAACGAGCAAAGCCACTCCAGCACCTTGGTGCAAAGATATACCTACGGCGAAACAAACGGCCAAAGTGCTTCCCAACGACCTAAAGGAACAACGCTTTGACCCCGTAAGGCGGTTCACGTCGAAGGAAATCCGTTGGGGCGTGAGCCTGTTAAATATCTAATTCAAGAGGACTTCGTTTACGGGAGCGGTCCTTCTATGTTCTCTTCGCGCAGAATCTCGCAAGTCCAAACGATACCCATAAGCACACTCATACCGTTCACATTTTTCCACGTCAATATATCGGAAAGAAGGCCACCACACAGTGTCACGCGCACACTTGCTATGACGTCATTGGGGTACATTGTGACGTCATGCTTTTCGATCCGTCAATCCGCGAGTTGCCCTGGCAACCATCAAACAGACGGCAGCGGCTCGGCCACCCAACACTCGAACCCTCCACAATCGAGCCCGGGCTACAGCTGTAGATAAGGCCTCGGCGACGAAACAAGGCAGGTACACCAGTGCGTCGACTCGCAGACAGCCCCCAACCTATCCTGTGACGTCACTGGTGTCGGCTGATCGGTGCAAGCGTAGCGCGAGGGCTTTCAACATCCTGGGCGGCATATTCGTCGAGGTCCTGAGGCGACAACCAGCAGCGGCGCTGAACGCTGTCACTTGTGCTTGACCCCATCGACAAAGCACAAAAGCCTCAAGCGGCCTCCTGGCTGTGCAGCTACATAGACGGATTTTCGAAGACGGAGAAACTGGAGGCGACGAGTAGGGTCGCGCCGTTGAAGGCCAACTTTAACGGCGGCATTTAAGCTCCGCCCACGTGGGCTGCGGCGTGAGTGGTGTGGACGGTGTTACGTCCCGCGGCTGAACCGATGCACTTCAGCACATGTTCCAGGCTTCTGCCGGAGGTCACTGGGTCACCGGGTCTCTGGGTCACTAGGTCCCGGGTCACCGGGTCTCTAGGTCACTGGGTCCCGGGTCACCGGTTCCAGCCAACCGGCACGTCCGGCCGACTTCTGACGTCACATCTTCTAACGTCACATCTTCTGCGTGTAGTTGCCGGGGAACGTGCCGAACATTCCCGTGCGCAGATTGGTGCCGACGTACCTACCGGTAGATGGCAGCACGTGTTGGCCTGCGGCACCACCACCGGGCTCGGATGCGGGTGCCGGGGGCGCAGTCAGAATTTTTTTAAGGGGTGGGGGTTGAAGGGGTGGGGGGCGGGTGATGGTTAGTAAGCACTCATCACAAGAGGACCGAGAGAGCCGTCCACTGTGCTGAAGTAAAAAAGCGGGTCTGACGGGAAGCGCCCCTCCCCCTAGCTGCGCCCCTGACGGCTGTCATGTGCGACGCCGAGCGAACTAACCGGGCCTCCCCGCTAGTCCATGACGGATGCAACAGCCCGCCAACATCAGATATTAACGCACTGTGGGTGCTTATCACAAGAAAAAGGCGAGCCAGGAGATGTTTCTGAGTGTCTTTCATGTTTCTTCGTGAGCGTACATAAGGGAAAGACATCTGCAATACACTGCGGAACAGTGGAAGTACTTTGCTTTGCTTTGCTTTGCTCTGCGATCATACAGTGAGTGGGTGCGCAGGAAAGTATAGGGAATGACGGAACAGGGAGAGGTGAGAGAGAACGAGGGAGCGCTAATCGGAGGGAGGGACGGATGGAGGGAAAGAGAGAGGGTTGGAGGAAAGGAGGGATGGGGAAGAAAGGACGGAGGGAGGGATGGAGAGAGGAAGAGAGGGAGGGTTTGAGGGAGAGAGAGAGAGAGAGAGAGAGAGAGAGAGAGAGAGAGAGAGAGAGAGAGAGAGAGAGAGAGAGAGAGAGAGAGAGAGAGAGAGAGAGAGAGAGAGAGAGAGAGAGAGAGAGAGAGAGAGAGAGAGAGAGAGGAGAGAGAGAGAGAGAGAGAGAGAGAGAGAGAGAGAGAGAGAGAGAAGAGAGAGAAGAGGAGAGAGAGAGAGAGAGAGAGAGAGAGAGAGATGAGAGAGAGAGAGAGAGAGAGAGAGAGAGAGAGAGAGACGCACCAGCCGTCCGGACACTGCTCCAGCACGTGGATCAGATCCCCCTCCTCCAGATCCAGCTCATCCTCGTTCTGATGGTCGTATGGGAACAGCACGCGGTACCTGGCCAACGAATGCAATGTCACCCATAGCTCCATTACAAACACGCGGTTCAATCAGCGAACGGGTAGTAGAGCAGTCCATTACACCAGCTAGACGGGATGAAAAGATGCCACCAAGCACATGTCATGATAAACATGAAAAGAGACTAGGCAGCATGGGCAAGGCAATGGTATCCGGCACCAGACCGCACAGATAAGTCGACCCCTGTGAGTCTCTATAACATCACAGCTCACATATGATTAGGGGGAGCAATGCTGTGCGGCATGGGCCGCAGTTAAGACATCCACACACACTGCAGCACACCGAGAACCTGTCACGTCCCACAGCAGGCAGCAGCGGCAGCACCTACACCACCTCGCCACACGGGGGAGCCGTCCCGCCGCAGCGGGGCGGCAGTACGTACGTCAGCGGCTCCTGCTGCACCTCGACCCGCAGCTGGCCCTGGCCGCCACCCCGTGTCGGCATGCCGTCCATCACCAAGCCGTGCGCGGCCGGCGCCCCCACCGGTTTCAGGCGCTGCACACCTGCAGCGGCCGCGGCGACAAGCGTTAGTGCACATCTGCGCCGCTAGGTGACAGGAAAAACGCTTTACTGGTTAGCGCGACCCTCATCGGTCAGTACGTTACATAAAGTAAAATTACGCTGATTATGGATGGTCAGACGCATTGTGCGCGCATACAGCCATAAAGGGGTCAATTTAACTTCAGATGTTCAAATGTAAGACGCAAGATGATCAGTTCCATTTATGATAGTTTTGTTAATAGTCTTCATAGTGTTAGTCTTAAGATTTGCCTGACATATTTAGCATCGTGGATGCAAAAGCCTGATCAAAGAAGTCGATCCTGTTGGTGCCCACAACACGTCAATGCGGTGCAAATGACCCTTCTCATGTTCATCGACTATACCGATAAGACTTTGATATTTATTGAGATTGTACATTATCAGCACTATATCAATATTGAGACTGTCTTCTGTTGGACGGCGTGATCCATCATGGCGGCGTACTGGGTTCGCGCGGTTCGTTGCCCAGCGGCTCCACGTAGCTGATGGGGAAGATTCCAGTGACGTCACCGCGTCGACCCTCGTACCAGTTGTCGTCCACGCGTCGCAGCACAGTCACCACGTCCCCTGCGGGAGGAGGGGGAGGGGGTCAGACTCGGGAGGCAGAACGAGGGCGTGTTGGTGCCAACGAACCGAGGAAAGTGCCGAAACGCGGCACGATGCTAAACGTCACGGGTGGAGGAGTGCCAAGTTGGAGGCACGCCAGCTTGGGGAGTATCAGCCTTGGGAGTTCCAGCTGGGGAAGTGAAAACTTGAGGAGTGGAAACATGGGAGTACTTACTTGAGAGCGTCGACTTGGGAGAAGAAACTTGAGAAGTGAGATCTTTAGGAGCATCCAACTTGGAGAGCACTTGCTTAGGAAGTAATTTGGGAAGTACAAAGCCTGAGAGTGCCAACTTGGGGAGTGCCTGCTTGGGGATATCTCCAGTACCGCTATTATGGCTGCGCACGGACGGCTACTGAACATGACATGGAAAACTGACCATACCTATCGTCATTGTTGGCGGGTCTTAAGATGCCGGCATAAGCAGTAAAGAGCGGCGGCCGATAGCCACGACGCAGTGTCAATATGTCACGTGATGTGACATCAGTTTCAATACGTCACGAGAAGAGGGTACGTCAATATGCCACTTCATTCAGAGATGGTGCCTTTGATCCCGTGTGATGGCATGTAATGACGTGTGATGACGTTCCGTTGATGGCTTTCAGCTCCAGCAACAAAATTCGACGACAAACGTCCCAGTTTGGCTGCACGTGAAGATTTTCGTCAGCCAGTTGTGTGAACAGGGGCGCGTGCAGGCTTTTCTTGCGGGGGCGAACATTTGCAGAAAACAAACTACCCAAGGTGTGTTTATAATGTTCTCAGTGACGTGCCTCACGCCTTAAATACCATAGAAGCGGCCCGGGTCTCCCGTAAGCCCAACTTCTACAAACGCCTCTGTGCGCGGCGTCGCCACCGAGCAGGGCGGCGACGGAGTCGGAACACCACCTTTGTTGAGGGAGAGCTCCATGCTGGTCTGCGCCGTGAATCGATGTCGGGCCCTGACCTGAGGTCGAGGCGTCCATCGCTCCGTCGACCGGGCACGGGGGTCGTTCACCTAGCGGTCAGGCGGTGTTAGTGGCCTGGCATAATATCTTCCGAGCGAGAGGTCCCGGGTTCGATTCTCTGCACGGGAAACTTGTCCCGATCACGTTTTACGTTGCAAGAGGTGACGTTGGCGACCTCGGCAGAATTTCTCGAATTCCTTAATCGCAACTTTTGGCCGTCTCTTAATTTCAGAAAGTCAACAGAATTACAAGTTTATGGTCCCGGCGACTTCACAAATACCTTGACAGCACAAATAACTTAAAATGACAATATCTGACATCCATGGCGGCAATGATATGCCTCTGTTTATCCTGACGGTATCAAGGAGACCAGCGGGTGTAGGTCACGGAAAAGACCGTCAAAAGACCGCCATCACGACAAAATAAAACCACAGTGAGCAAGGCCGGAAACAGCCACCTCACAATGACACGGTCCAGGACGGCACATAACGAAACCCGAGAGCATTGAGACACCGCTACAACCACGTGACTGCACGAGCCTCGTCATTGCCCTCGTTTGCAGGTTAATAATTTGTCACTGCATCTTCAACGCTCCAGAGCACCTTTCACAGTTGAGTGAATCAGGAAGAGCGGCGCTCACCTGTACATAGGTGACGGGGAAGATACCGATGCGGGTGCCCTTCTGGCCTTCGTACCAGTTGGCATCGATCTTCCGCCTGACCCTCACCGTGTCTCCTCGAGACAAGCTTAGCTCCCTGAGGCAGCAGTCAGTCTCGTCAGAAATGGCGGCAATCGTAGCGAAAACAAAGCCAAAAACATTTGAATAGGCCTATCTGGCCACGATGACGTTACAAGTAGGCGTTGCCGTCACTTACCGGTTATTCTGCGCCCTGAACTCATGCAGGACGCTGGCGGTGACGGCCAGCCGCTGATTGTCTATGACGTCATCGTACAGGCGCTCGTACCGATCGAGCGGAATGGGCGACTTTTGGCTCGGTCTGAAAAAAAATCCGATTTGATGGTCACATGTTTGAGTTAAATGGAATAGTCAAACTTTTCTAGGGACTGTACCAGCTAAAGACATTGCGTTTATTTTTGCTGTTAGAGACGTGAGTCGAGGTATTGCCATTCATGCCATACTTGGTCATCAGTCTAGCATAATTCAGCCCTGCCTTTTCGTTTCCGTACGTTATAATAACTCACACTTTCATCCTAAATTAATGGCATGCAGCCCACGAAGAGCCCCGGAGTTAACTGTCTGGCTCACGACGATACGTTCTGCCCTTAGTGTGGCTTTCCTTTACAACAATGGCCAACAGCCCTCCGCACGTGAGGAGCGCACGAGCCACGCGCCACCGGCCCGTCCCCTCACATGAAGTTGTCGCCAGTGTCGCCTGCTCTCCCGGTCTTCGACCTGGCGCTGCTCCTTCTTGCGGCGCGCCTCCTGATAGACGCGTCGCATGGCGTCCTCCTGACGCCGGACGCAGCTCCTGATCCGAGAGTGGCTCCTTTTCCTCCCAGCGCACCGGTGACCGGTAGTGGATATTGACGGCCGCCTCCTGGTACCGCGGACCCTCCACTGACGATGCAAACGGGCGTCAAGTGGGGTGTAGAATGACGCTTGATGGTGTACATGGACATCGAGGGGTGTGGAATGGTCCTTAAGGGTGTGGAAAGGACGTACGTGGGTGTAAACAGGATGTGGACCAGGCAAGAGGTGTAAGTGGGGCGTGCAGGGTTGTTATACCGAGGGTATCGACAGGTACCTGACGACGTCAACAAGACGGCAATAGCGATATGGATCGTAGGGGCCGAGGGTTTTGACACTCTAGGCACAGCTCATTTACAATGCTTCGATCGTGGACCAAGCTCACACCATGGTGTTGCCTGCAACTGGTGCTGAACGTTCATATATGTAACTTAAGTTTTTCTTTCTTCTTCATTTTGTTTTTCTTAGGCAGGCATACACCACTTTAATCCAAACGTCAGAGTCTCACTGAAGCGTAAGCGGCAACCATTAATAATTCGCACACAAACGTGCAACACTGCACATGCGATAGCCAAAAAACCTCACTCGGTAAAGCACACACCAAAACAATACAGCATTCACAATGACGACGTGCACCAAATCTGCAGGCATTGTACAAAGCAGCCAGTTCCCACATATACACTCACCGCCTACCGTTGGTCATCACGGCTTCTTGATGTCACCAACCGCGGTCGCCTGACCGCAGTCAGAACACCTTTCAAGTGTTCCCACCTACCGGACTGTTTCGTCATCCCCAACTGTCCGCCATGACCAGTCTGTCTCTGCAACCTCCTATTACCCCCAGTGACCGGTCTGTCTCTCCACCATCCTCCTACCCCTAGAGACCAGTCTGTCTCTCCACCATCCTCCTACCCCCGGTGACCGGTCTGTCTCTCTACCATCCTCCTACCCCCTGTGACCGGTCTGTCTCTCTACCAGCCTCCTACCCCAGTGACCGGTCCGATCCATCCCTCTGGCCCTCGCCGCGTGCCCTCTGCACTCACCGTGGCCGGTGCGCGGCTCGTGCGGCCGGCTGCAGCAGGGACAGGGCGTGCGGCGCGGAGCCGGCCGCGGCAGCGACCCCGTGCCTGGCGGCGGCGGGTGGCGGCGTGCCCGCGGCCTTGGCAGCGAGCGCCATCCGCTGTCGGGTACATAGCGGCCCACCGGTCTGTGAATCGACCAATCCGTGGCGGCGGCGCCCGACCAGGCGGCGGTGTCGGAGCTCTCCGACGCCGGCACGGGCGTCGACGCCACCACGGAGGCTGTCCTGCAGCTGCCGTCCGTCCTCCCGGAGAAGCTGCTGACCGGGCGGAACTCGTCGCGCAGGGTGGCCGTGGTCTGGCGCCAGACGCGCGCGTAGCCGTCCAGGTCGCCCAGCTCGGGGCTCGAGGTGAACATCTGGCCGATCAGCGAGACCTCTGGCAGTGGCCGGCGAGACTTCGGCTGTGTAGCGGCGCCGCTAGGGGCGCTGGCAGCAACACGCGTCACGGTGCGGATTCGGTGCGGCGGTCCGATGGAACGCTTGACCTCCGTGTCCACGGCCGTGGACGTCGCCGCGTCCACCGTCTTTACCCTCGTTTCCACTGCCGCCACAGCACCGCTGACTCCACGGGCACCACCAGCCACGCCCCCACCGGTCACCTCCGCCCCCACCGACTCCACCACAGCCTCCTTCCGCGGCTTCTCGCCGCTGCCGCGACGGCGCCAACGCCGCCGAATGCTACTGAAGCCCGACAGCAGCATCCGCCGCACTGAGCGCCGCCGTCCAGACGCCGGCAGGTGGCGACACTCCACGTCCACCAGGCTGGCCGCGTCTTCGGGTGCCACGCGCGGCGTCGGCAGCGGCCGCCTGCCTACCTCGCCTTGCTCCCCAAGCAGTGCCGGCGGCGCGCTGGCGCGGTGCTCCGTTTCGCGCGCCGCGCGCCGCGCCGCCGCCGGCGCGTCGCGCCCCACCACCGCCGCCGCGCCGTCCACCCTCGCCTCCGAGACAGCCCGCTCGGGCACGTACTGCGCGGAGGCGGCGAGCGGGCGCTGGTGTCGCAGCCGCGCCGCGCTGGGCAGCGAGCTGAAGCCATCCATTAGCAGCTCGCGCGAGCGCGGCGGCTTCTGCACTGGGTTGGGGAAATGTGGCGAAAGACTGGACGCGGCAACTGTGGTCACGGGGTCGTGTGGGGAGAAGCCCGCTTCGTGCGAAGAGGAATACGGGTCCGCTGAGGAGGAATGCGGGTCTGCCGAGGAGGAATGTGGGTGCGCTGAGGACTCAGGTTTACGTCGCGAGTAGTTGACATCGTGTCGGGGAAGGCTCCTGTCTCGCTGGGGAGAGTCCACGTCGCCTCGGGGTGGGCCAGTCCGCGGGGGCGCGGAGGCGAGTGACGTCATCGTGGAGACGGGTGACGTCATCGGTCGGCCGATGCGCTCCTCTCGCAGCTGCCGCAGCCGCTCCGAACGCAGCACCAGCTGGTGACGCTCCTCTGACGTCATGGAATGCGACGCGCCTTGGTACGTCAAGCCATGAGACCTGACCAGGGGGAGCGTCTTCGACTGAGTCGTCATCGCTCGCGGCGGGGTGGAGTATGACGCTAGCGTCTGTGACGCGGCGGGGTGTGACGTCATCGTCTGTGACGCGCCCGAGTAGCCACCCGGCGGCAGGGGCCGCACCGGCAACACCTCCCGCCTGCCGACCGCCAAGTCCGTCACGTGCACCGCGTACCCGTCCGTGTCGGCCTCGTCCTCCGCCCCAGCTCGCGGCGGCAGGGACGGGCGCCTCCTCCCCGCCGTGGAGGTGCTGCAGCTGGCGGCGCAGGCGGCCCACCTCCGCCTGCGTCAGCGAGCTGGCCGACGAGCAGCGCGACTGCACCTGCGAGCGGGCGCGAGGCGGCGGCGCGGCGAACACTCGGCGCAAGTCCTCCACCGAGCGGCCTCGCAGGCGCAGCGCCACGTCGCCCGTCCACCGGCGCCGCCTCTCGCGGTCCTCCAGCGCCGCGTCGTAGCGCTCGTACACACGCAGCATCTCGAGCAGGGTGCGCGAGTGCGCGCGCGCCGCCTGGCGGCCGGCGTCGGCGGCCGGCACGCCCGCCTCAGCCAGCCGCTGCAGCGCCAGGTAGTGGGGCTTCAGCTGCTGGAAGTGCGCTGATCGGCGGCTGAGGCGCAGCAGGCGCGCGACGGCCTCCTGGTAGCGCCGCGGCTGCGCCTCGGCCAGCGGAGAGAGCAGGGCGTCGCGCAGCGCCGCCAGCTCGCCGGCGAGGTCCGACGGGGCAGGCGAGCGGGCGCGTCGGTCCAGTGAGCCCCAGTAGTGGTCGCCAGAGGGCGCCGTGGCGCCGGCCCGGCCTGGCGAGGGCGGTCGATCGGGGGCGCGCTCCGACCGTTGGAGTCTGCTCTGCCCTCTGGCGCGTGTCGTCGCCGCCGTCCCCTCCCGAAGCGTCGCCGACTCCGCCGTCGGCATGTCCTCAGACGCTGACGTCTTCCTCTCCCCTTCCGCCGTCGCCGATCGGCCACCAGCGGCCCTCCTGGGTGATGCTGTACCGCAGCACAAGACTCGGCGACGTCATGTGCTGGCCACGTGCTAGCGAGCCGGACGCCGAGTGGCTCGGCGGGCTGCGCGACTCTGAGCTCACGTAACCCGTTTCCTCGCTGGCCGAGGTCACGTGACTCAGGTCGTGGCTGTCGGGGCTGGCGTCGTGGGCTGCCGGTGCAGTCACGTGGTTCAGCACTTCGGCTGCAGCGCTGGCGTCTTGAGCGTCCGCTATGGCCACGTGACTAGAGTCGTGGCTGCCGGGGCTGATGTCGCGAGCGGGCGATGAGGTCACATGGCTTGTCAGCGGAAGTTCACCGATGTCCGCCATTTTGTTTGCGCTGGAACCTGACCCTTCAACTTTCCGGCTGATACCGTTGCTCTGTTCGTCCTTCCCTGGATCGCGTTCTGAAATCCCGTCGGAGTGTTCCTCTCCGTTCCCGGCATCTTTCTCCGAATCCGTCTCTTCCACAACGCCCAGACCATCCTTCTGACTATCGGACAGAGCCACCCCGTTATCTGCGTCGTCCTCCGTGTGGACGGGGCCCTCTGCCGTCGGCTTGTCATCCACAGCCGCCCGCGGGGTGGCTACCGGCTTTTTGCCCGTGCTGTGCCTGTCTCCGGCACCGGCCCGGCTGTCGGGGGGTATCGCAGCCCTGCTGAAGCTGGCCGGCGGCTTGCCTGTCACGGACAGCTTGGCCAGGCTGCTGGGCGGACGAAACTGCGCCGCTTCGCTCAACTTCAGCTGCGAGCTGCGCCGACAGATGACAGGAGCGGCGGGCGGCTCAACGGCCGGCCGCGATCGCTTGCGGTACGAGGCGGGTAGGGACCCGGTCTCGGGTGACGTCACTCTCCCGTTTGGTGACGTCACTCTCGCACTGGCTGCCTTCGCTTTAGCGTCGAGCGACGTCACCCCGCCCCCGGGTGACGTCACCCCGCCCCCGGGTGACGTCACCCGGTCCACAGTCGCCACAACCTTCCCACTGGGACGACGCGCGGCCGCCATAGCCTCGGTCACGCCCGCAGCCGACCTGCCAACAGCGAAGCTGCGCGCCTTCTGCAGCGGTGGCGGCCTCGTCAGCCGCTCCACCACCGGCGCCGACGACTTTCGCGAGCCCGCCGCCGTTGGCCGAGGCAGAGACTTGGAACGCACCTTCGGGTTGTTCCAGCCAGCCTCTCGCAGCCGCCGCTGCTCCTCGCTCAGGCTGGCCGGCGGGCGCGACGGTTTTCTCGCCACGCTGTCTCCTCTTGCCGCCGCCTTGACCTTCGTCGCAGCCGCGGGCGGTGTCGGCAGCGCGGGGGCGACCGTGAGCCCGGGCGAGGACGAGGCCGCGGGCTCGTCCGACGTGGCGACGGCTCGCCCCTCCCGCGTCACGCCACGCTGGGTTGACCCTGACCCCTCCGCCCGCGCCTTGCCCTGGTCCCGCAGCAGGAAGGCGCTGCCCGTGACTGCACGGCGGTCGGCCAGTCGGGTTCGCTCGCGGCTCGTTCTCGGCAGGGTAGATGGCGCTGGCGTCGTCTTCTCCCGCCCTGGCGGGAATTCACGCGTCGCCCGGCCGGCGGCGGGCTGCTTGTGCTGCGGCGCTGGCGCGGCTGTCGTCTCACCGGCGCGCCTAAGCAGTCTCTCGCGCGCGTCCGGCGCCGGCGGCGGCTTCTCCGCGGCGCCGCGGGCGGCGACAGTGGCGCCCTCGCGGCGGGGGCGCTCCAGACTCCGCGTCATTGCATCCGGCCGCCGCTGCTGGCGCCACTGGGCCAGTGCCGGGGTCCAGCGGGACTGGAGCCGACGCGGTGGCGGCGGCGGCGCGGGCGCGGCCGTGGGGCGGGGGCGGGGGCGGGGCCCGGGCGCGAGGCGGGGTTACTGTGCGTAGGCGGGTCCCTGAGGGGAGAAGAGGGCTCGGCGGGTACGGACTCTGGTGCGGACTCCGAGCCGTGCGGCCTGCGCACCCCGTCAGTGAGGGTCTGACGAGGGCGAGACTCGAACTCGGACTCGCCGCCCGCTGGACTCCAACCGGCGCCGCCGGTGACGTCAGAGTCAGTGGTGACGTCAGAGTCTGCAACGAGCCCGCCGTGGCGGCGATAAGCCAATGCAGCGACATCTAATGACAAATGTATGAAATAAACATGTATGAGCCCGCAACTAAACAAAACAAAACATGCGTCGTTCAACGCTGCGACAAATAAAAAGAATTATGGAGCAGAGAAGGTCATTATGATGGCGTCAGCACGGTCGAGGGACCCCCGTTGTGGGCGAGGGGTTCATGTTGCATTTTATTTTAGATCGACTACATGAGGTGTTTATTCTGCCCCACGTCTTGCTTTGGCAACACCAAAAAGCGTGTGCTGTATTTTGCAAGACGTACGAAAGCAAACAGCCAAATTACGTCGGCAAAACTTACATAGGAGTAACGGGATGTTCGCATAATTTTAACTAGTAAGCTGAATTCTTCTCGGAAGCGATGCAAAAACTGCGATGCCTTTTGCTACAAAAGGTTTTTTAAATGTGGTTTGCGAGGGTAAAAAATAAATACAGATGGAGCTCTTATTTTTCCATGCAACATTTCATGTCTTGAATAAATCTTGGTTATGACATCACTAAAACCTTAGCAATGCTTGCGCGGACAATTTCAGACTACCTTAACATAAGCCACAATAAGGAAATGCCTCCTGGATGTGGGAAAAGGACCGCTGGTTCAGCCACCACCACCTTCCGTGCTCCCCACTACATCAGCCGTTCCACGCGACCCGCCAAGTCCAGCGGCGGGGCCTCAGGGGGTGGTGCATGCCGGTCACGTGACCGTGCAAGCGGCGGGCGGTGCATGTCACGCGACGGCGGAGAACTGGAGAGCGACCATGGCGACGGCGCGGTCGCCGAGCAACGCATGCGCAGTGACGTCAGAAGAGCCTTCGCCATTTTCAGTCTGCTTCCTGACGCGTCCACAAGGCGTGCGGAGGTTCTGTTCCCCCTCCGTCCGGGGCAGCATCCGCAAACATTTTCAACAGCCGACCGTCAACACCTTCAAGCCGCCGCCAGCAGCGCAGAAGTCCAGGCGCGTGCCATGGGCGTGGCTTCCTACGAGCCCGGGCTGTGATTGGCCGTTGCTCCTCACAGACTCCCAATCCGTCAGCCCAGTTGTTCATCGCCATGCGGTGCCGGAGACCGCGATTCGTGCGTTGGAAACGGGTGCGAACGTGTCTAGCGACCCAAGGACCAGCGTCCGCGACTTGCAGTCGCTGCGGTGTCTTACCTTGATGCGAGGTGGGGAGAAAGGAGAGAGAGGGCGCGGCAGTGGATTGCCGCTCTCGCCACTCACCGTGCAGCCTCCACCGTGACAGGATGTGACCTGACGTGACCTGTGACCCGGGCCGGGTCACCAGTGTCGACCATTGAGGCATCAGCAATTAGCTAGTTCGTTAGACCATCACCAGCGATATGAAGCGGCATGCATATATCTATCCACGAGCAGGCAGTCAAATGTTTGGGCGTTCGGTGAAAAAGCGGGTGTGCTCGGTGGGAGAAGGCCGAGGGAACCTATGGTGATTCAGTTAGAATTCAGTTAAGGGTTTTTTTTTGGAAAAGGTAGGCCTACACGCAGTCGGGTTAGAATTCAAGCCTGTATTCTGGGAGGACTGTTGGAAAAACCACAACACAACAGTCATCCACTGAACACAGAGCATTCATAAAAGCAGCTAAACTGGGTTATGAGAATTAATCATCACTCCACGTCAGATCGTGATGTCCAGACGCCGATCCGTGGTGCTCAAACTTTGAAAAACCAGATCCCTCCGGTGGTTTCCAAACTCCGTCCTTCTTTTAAAGATTCGGCTACAGCATAACTGTTCGAAGAATGCACCACGTTGCTACAATGGCTAATGCCGAAAACAAGAGATGCGCTTGATTGAAGCGAAAATAGTGCGTTACCAAAAAGCAGAGCAGAGCATACCAAAAAGCAAGCGTAGGTTATCCTTGCTCGCAGTACTCCCCGCACTTTTGCTGAGTCCGTTAGCCCACGTTTCGTGTCTGGGCACCGCGATTTGACCAAGCTTTGGCCGCAGGAACAAAGCCGCCCCGACAAACACCCGGGACACTGACCCCAGCTGACCCCGGCTGACCCCAGCTGACCTTTGGGCCGTTCCGGGGCCGGCTTCCTTAGGCCCGTCAAAGGCACGTCGCCGCCGCGCTGGATCTGGTGGTAGTACGAGCGCTGCTCGCCAGATGTCAGCACAGGCGGCTCGTTCCGGTGGTATACCAGCGTCGAGTCGGATTCGTAGCCGTCCAAAACGCTGCAACCCGAGCGAGATCAGAGTGCAGTGAGGTCATAAGTTGGGACGTGCGGGGGTTAATATGAAGCGTGGTAAATGCAAACGAGGGACGCGCGCGTATGCTTACAACGTACGTGGACGCATGGCGAGGTAGATACCTGAGAAAACGTGACAATGGCAAGACAGAACTGAACGAATACCAAAAATGAGAAGCGAAAAAATGCCATAACAAGACACAAGCCATGAAGGTTGTGGGGCGACTCCAACCCATTAAGGTATTGCCTGTTATCCCGTCATTTCTCGGCCTTTGAGGTCATCGTCAGGTGGGTGGATGGTGACGTGGTTGACATACGAAGCCAAGTGACATTGCACATTCGACGTCAGACCGAATTACCAGCAAGGTAGTAGTCAACCATAACATGGGCCTGTTAACGACACGCCGGGAGCACCACAAAAAAATGTAACTTTTGTCGCTGAAATACCACATTCGCTAGCTACCCGTTCATCAATTTCGTGCGCTGCCCTCAAATATGCCGATGCTATCGTGTGTGGCATTTGATAAACCCGCACGCACACGCTGAGGTGGGACAAGCATGCTTGGTTGTATGTTGTGCCGCACCTGACACGCCGGACGAGGGGTTGCATCGGTGTGAACATCACCCGAGGAACAGGCACACACCACACACCGAATGGGTGCGCGGCCGCGCGTGTCACTGTGCTCAAGTAAGAAACAACTCACTTTGGAAATGCTCAGACTTCTGCACGTGAAACGGCGCACCGCCTATGGCCCACGCTGTCCATCATACGTGGGTGGCAGAAGTTGGGGATGTTGGGGACGGATCCTGGGGATGATGACGGCTACCCCAGCACTCTTGCACGAGGGGAGGACGGAAGCTAGAATCATCACCTCGACCCCAATTAATCGGCCTCACATGCTGAGGCCGCCCTACACAGAGGACTGGACAGCTAGGACACAGCACCAGGGAAACGCAACCCAGTACGGGAGTACCTGTTCATGTACGGATACACGTCAGATTTCTGGCTCTGCGTTACTGTGCGGCGCTCCTGCGCCTCTACGCCACTGTCCGCCTCCGATGCACCACTTTAAAGCGGCAAGAAACAGTCACTCAGGACATGTTGGATGAGTGGTTATCAGGTGTCTTGGATTAAATCTTGGCCATTTTATATCTTGGCCATTTGTATCTATTATATTTTATATAATAGATGTAATTATATATAGATTATATCTTGGCCATTTCGGAACGTTACGTAGAAGGCAAAGGCCCATGATATCAGCTCCAATGTCGTCATCGAAGTGAGTGAAGGCTGTTATGAAATTAAATGAGCTCAAGCAACGCAATAATCGTTATCACATTCGCACAAAAGGGTGTACAGCGGGATCAAGGTCTACTGAAAAGCAATATTCAAACTAACGCATTAAAAGCAAGCGTATGAAGTAAGACAAAACCAGAGCAATCGCTACGATGAACACATTCTTTGAAAAACGAGGCGTCCGAATATGGTCCGGATAAGGTCCAGATATGACCTGGATATAGTCCAACTATTGTGCGAATATGGTTCGGATATGGTCCGGATATGGTCCAGCTATGCTCACCGCCTACTTACTGCAATCAAATGCCGTACACGACACGCATCATTCCCACCCATACTTTTCAAATAACAATGATGCATATGCTAAGCCAGTTTAACTAGTATGATTTCGCTGAAAGATGATAGTCCATAGACTTAAACCAAAAAGGATGCGCCAGTCAGTGCGATGCTTGGAAATATTCTCTACGGCTGCTCGAGTGAAGCCAGGTAATCTTTCTCAAATTTGTCCACATTTTTCAAGTTTTCTACATTGTTCTACATAAGATATGAAAGGCTAGACTACCGCATAGCTCCCAGTAATTTCGCTGCCGTATGGAAGGGGGTTCAGAATGGAAATAAGTTGCATGATCAGAAGACATAAGTCATGTGCACGTGAAACGGGGTTCTCTTCCTGAGCAACTACTATGTGAGGTGTAGTGCTTGAGTCAACTTTTCAAAATTTGGCGATCATTGAGTCATCTACCTCAAGGGAGTTTCAATGGGTCCAGGCAAATCCTAAACATCGTAGGTCCCCAAAAAGGAACGGGAGGTGCAATCCCATCTAAAATGATGTCCATCGCTGAAGGTAAAACTGTGCTTCGAGTGACCGGATTTGGAGGGACAAACACCCGTTTTGATAAAGTGAGGGACAATGTTCCCAGCTCCTTTCACCCTCTTCGGTGGTAGCACCATGGAAGTTAGTGCATGGCACCGTACTCGACGAGAACACATGTGACCGGACATCAAAAAGATCTTCCAACAAATTAACCACGCATGGTGCATTGAAGGAAGCTCCAAAACTCCCGCAGACTTTTCGCAAGCGTACTGCAACCTTTCACAAAAAACCTTCTGTGAGCTGCCGAGAGCTACGTTGGCGTTCCGTAAGCAACCGAGAGCTACGTTGGTGTTCTGTGAGCTGCCGAGAGCTACGTTGGTGTTCCGTGAGCTGCCGAGAGCTACGTTGCGTTCCGTGAGTTGCCCGAGACCTACGTTGGCATTCCGTGAGCCGCCGAGAGCTAAGCTGGCGTTTCTGTGAGCTGCCAAGAGCTACGTTGGCGTTCGTGAGCTGCCGAAAGCGAGGTTGGCGTTCGTGAGCTGCCAGAAAGCGAGGTTGGCGTTTCGTGAGCTGCCGAAAGCGACGTTGGCGTTCCGTGAGCTGCCAAGAGCTACCGTTGGCGTTCCGTGAGCTGCCCGAGACCTACGTTGGCATTCCGTGGAGCCGCCGAGAGCTAAGCTGGCGTTCCGTGAGCTGCCAGAGCTACGTTGGCGTTTCGTGAGCTGCCCGAAAGCGACGTTGGCGTTTCGTGAGCCGCCGAAGCTACGTTGGCGTTTTGTGAGCCGCCGAGAGCTAACATTGGCATTCCGTGAGCTGCCAAGGGCTACATTGACGTTTCGTGAGCTGCCGAGAGCGACGTTGGCATATCTGCCACGTACCGTCGGGCGAAAGAGTCGTCCGGCGGCGAGTAGGACCGGTTCGCCGCCTGGAGCCCAGAGCGGCGCGTTAGACACACAGGTGCACCGACACACAGGCGACGTCGCGGTCACCAGCGCGGTCCAACGGACCAACGGTCCAACGGGCCAACGGACCAACGGGTCAACGGACCAACGGACCAAAGGACTAACGGACCAACGGACCAACGGACCAACGGGCCAGAGGACCAGCGCGGCCCAGACGAAGGTTCCGGGGGCGCTGATGGTGGTCCATCGGTCCGTGATCGTGAGGTCTCGGGTTCGCAACCCCCTTGTGCCACACGTTAACGGCCATGCGAAGACAGATGTTGTGATATTTTGGGATGTCTGCAGCCGCCACGGAGGTACGCGCCAACACACAGTAAGGACATTTTTGGAATAGCTGGCCCGAGGAACGTTAGAAAATATGTACGGTAGATAATGTGCACGGTAAAAAATCCACTAGTTGCGGTAATAAACAGCTGCGGACGTTAGCAAAGACGTACAGTGGGTAAAGGCGAGAACGATAGCCTATTTCGACGAGGTCAAAACTCTGGGCGTAGGTCTCAGATGTTGATGTCGGTGTGCGGATCTGACTGGCGAGGTCGGTCTGACGTACACAACAATACATTGACAATATGTCACCTGACACTGTCGCTTTGTCACATCGACACTCTGCCACCCAGAATCGTGTCGATATTGTCATCCACGCGGTGGACGTCAGTACACAGATCTGTTGTGAAGAGGGCTGTACAAGTGTCGATTAACTCCGTTGTCTAAGCGCATAAGCATAAACAAAGAATACCAGTGTCAAGAGAGGACAAAGTTCGCATATGAAGCGTGACTAAAAATAATAGGAAAGTACATGCCTTTGCAGCATCGACCATCGGGAAGGAGCACGATTAAGGTAATTGCATGTTTAATTGTCGTTTTCGTCACAGTCAGGTGGTGTTACCTTCGACTCGGTTTTGTCCAAGGCTTCTTCCTGACGGGCATGGCAGCAGAACAAAGACAACACACGATCAGAGGACGAACAGTGGGCATGCCCGCAGGCAGTGGTCATCAAATCAACGGCAGTGGTCATCAAATCAACGGCAGTGGTCATCAAATCAACGCAGCAGTTGTAACGATCAGCACTGCCCCACAAGAAGATGGTATGGTTAATAAAGCAATGAAGCGTCAAATACCATGTTACAAAACATTGCGTCAATCAGGCAGATAATATCGATTTGGTTGACAATCCGATTAGAGGGAAAGTGCCAACGTTGAAGACGAAATTTATATGCAATCGTTCGTGTATGAGCAGGGGGTAATTCGACATGCAGAGCAAGTTCCTCAAATTTGCCTTCAGTTTGCTTTGCCAATTTACTCCCATTTGCAACAGGGATTCTTTTTGTTTTTTTATCACACGCACTTTTGAACACTTCAAGCATGTTTTGCTCGGCAATATCTACTTCGGTCTTATCCACCAGCGACCAAAGTATTTTGAGCGTTGAGCTTTATGGCGAAATTCCTGTGGTCATAACACGCATGATCGGAACAAAAAACAACCTCATTCATTTCTTGCCAGTTCAACGGAATCTTTAAAACAAAGCCCGGTGAGTAGCGCCAAAGCTTGGCCGCAGGCACACGGCCCAATTGGCTCAGGTCTCTCAAATTCATATTCTGCGATTGGTTATCGTCGAGGCAGCGCCGTTGGTGGCCACACTTGAAGTGATATTGTGCTGTTTACAGCCTTGATTGACTTTTTGGACGTGAAATTCTTTAAGGATGATTCGTTTTTCCCCTGTTTTGGGTGAAGCGGGTGTATATTTTAACGTCGTGAACAGAGATCACCATCCCGACACAACCATTGCCCCAGTTGTGTTTTGTGACGGTCTTTTAGTGTGGCACTGTTCTCTCAAGTATATGGCGTTATTATTGTCAGGGAGGTGGCACTGATCGCCCGAGCACATGCATCAACCGTTGGCAGCGAACAGTGGATGTCGTTAGAAAAGCCGTAAGTGCACTTTACAGTCTCCTTTGGCTAAAAACTTCACGGCGTTCTTTTGCACGAAAATCGGTGGAAACGAAAAAAACAGCAAACAGTTTACATACGCTAGCAAAAATAACTTCTTGTGTTTATAATCGCCGCTATAAAAAAAGAAGTCGCAAAATCCATCTTCAACACAAAATCGTGGAAAAGTTGAAAAAGTGATCAACACGGCAAAAACATCAAAAAATCGCAGGCGAACGCATCGAGCACCAAATGTCTGTTCACGACCGGAGCACAGCATAATCCCGAGTGAGAACCACAAGCGAAGCGAGCCCAGGAGTGCCACGAGCGCGCGGGAGTTAGGGCGTCCGCAGCCATGCGTCTTCACTCTCTCACTCCCGAGACACTCACACTTCTCACGCCCCGCAGAGGTCGCTCCAGCTTGATGTGAGAGTGATCCTCCAGGAACTGCCGGGCGACACCAGCGAGAGGCCACGCACACTTAGTGACGTAACATGTCGCCGTACGCTTGGATGCCTAGACAACGCTTAGATTCGAGACCGATTCCGCGCAGTCAGATGCAGGCTATTCAGCGGTCCGAAAATGTCGTACGCTTCGTAACGCGGCGCACAGAGGGTGTGTTATCATTCATCGCCAGCCGAGCAAGGAAAGCCGCACACGCATAAGACGACGCACTCTTACACAAACTGCATACACCATAATCCATTGATATACCAACAAGAAAACGCTTTAAATAAGTATACTCGTACACGTCTTCAGGTTGGCTAGATGTCAGAAATATGACTGAGCATGTCCTGACCGATCCGAACATGTCCTGACAGAACTAGAGCGTAACGCGCCACCGTCACGCCCGCAGAAGCAAAGTTCTGTTTGATTGCATCTGACTGTGCAGTCTTGTTCAATAGCTTACATGCACAAACCACCACATTAAATTGTTTATGGAAACACACATTCATTTATAAGAGCACTTTAACTAGTTCACATAAGTGGAATAGCCGTTGGCCACGAGTGAGCTGAGAGTGGGTTCACATGAACGGAGATTAGCACTATTACGAACAACCAAATCACTGACCAACACAGAGAATATCAAACAATCGACATATATGTTACAAAAGTGCATCACCTGTCTACATTGCATTAGCAGAACAACGATTTTTTCAGCAACAAAGCATGGAAAAAAGCAAACCATCTTGATATGCCCTGGATGCCCCAGAGGCATGTGCTGCCTGCGCAACTATGTACTAAACAGTTCCTCAGACATGCGAAGAAAAAAAAGCTGGGAAAGTAAATACATAATGAGGGTATGTGTCGCTTAAGCGATATGTAGCAGCATATATGTATATTACATGTTTGGTTATATAGTATACATGCACATATATAATATATACGTATATATATGCATATATAGCATGTAATATATATATATATATAATATATATATATATATATATATATACACATGGAAATTGTTTGGCATCATGTTATCTGGCTCAGGATGTTTCAAGATGTCTCCTGTATGCCGTTTCTCATTCATTAGGGTGGTTAATATACCAAATCTTGAAGCCAGGATCACCATGCAGTCTGAACCAAAGCATGCGAAGCACGCTTCTATGAAAACGAATTGCGTTTTGGAAGCGGATGCAACACAGCTAGCGGGGATACTCTGTGTTAAATGGCTATGCACTGTTGTGTCCTTCCGACGTGCACAAAACAAGCCAAAGCGAATATTTACAATTTTCACAAATAGCGTGGCAAATAAACGTTGGCTCATCCTGCGCCGTCTCCCACAAAAAAAATGACGCTTCAAATCGCATCTTACCCGGAAAGTATGTGTGTGCAGCACGTGCATGCGTGACACGTCACATAAAAACACAACCCTTACGATGTCCAATAAACCAAAAGCGTTAATCGTGGCGTAAGCCAACGAACCAAAAATGCAGTGTTAATGATATGCATAGTGCCCAACATGTAGTCGTACCTTATCAAAATAGCCCATGACCTCTTCCCAGTACTGGAAACAGTCCGCCGCTATCAGACGCGCCACAGGCTAACCCTCTACGACACGGGTCTGTAAATTCCACTGCCCTGCGTTGGAGGTGTTCTGATGGCGCCAGTTCTAGGCCACAGCGATGGCTACCAATGTGAAGAATGCGACACTTTGGGGACGTAACGGTTATAAATATAGCTTAATTTCCTGTAATTTCTTTAACTTCAAATTCTCAGTATGTGTGGCGGCAATACCATGCTGGTGTCGAAAGTCATCTTTTTCCATCCACACCCGTGTCACACATCATGCCAGCAGCGGAAATGTTCAGCATTACAATTCGACACAAGGACTCATTAACTGTGAGCAGCCTGCGACGCGTGGCCCACAAACTAACTTTAGATCAGCATAGGTCATAGGGGCCCCAGATGGGTCACCCACGAGCGTCATCTAGGCTCTGCCGAAATCAGGGAGCCATTTGAAGCAGCAGAAGGTCTTATGGAGTCACTTCAACTGAGGACCCAATCCTGGCATACGCACAGCTAATGTCTGCTGACCCCGGCTGATCCCGACAGCTCAGACACGACCCCAGCTGACCCGGAGCTGACCTTTGCCGCCTCCTGCTCAGCCAGGGATGACTTGCCGGGGGTGTAGTTCTCAATCCGGCCTGGTTGGCCGCGGTACCGCTCCACACGCCGAGCCTGCCACCTAGTGGCGGAAAAACGAACACCAAGCCTTAGAGCCGACGGCAGATGGCTGATCCCAGCATCGGTCAGTGCGCCGACCGTGCCATCTAGTGGGACGGAGCGCGATGAAAATGACGCCAGTCACTCAGCTAAGGCGAACTCCGAGAGTGCTTAATCTACTCAATAAGCACGGATCAACGAACGGATCATCAAACATAAAACAAGTATCTGTGGTGAGAAGAACAACAGTATTCACACCACACATGCATGTTAATTGAGCAATGTACAAGCATCGTACATGGTTTGGGCTGACAATGGAAGGGAAGTAAAGATATATAGAAGTACTGGGCTTTCACCTGGGATTGGGTTCGTCGTCTTCGTAGATCAGTTCAGGTTCGCTTGAGTAGCCACCTAAGCCGTACTGGGACCGTGCTACAGAAAAGACGCGCGCAAATCAGCTCAGCCAATCAGGGTATAAGGAGTGACGTCACAGTGGGCCCCATCAGTAACAAGCTGACACTGTGGCGCTTTTTGGGCGCAGTGGCCACTCAAATGCAAGGTCCGATATAGGGTAGGGAAAACAATGAATCTGGGTCTTGAAACACGACAAAAATGAGTACTAGTCTAAGACGCCGTGTAGAGATAGTGGCTTGGGCTAGGGACACATCTGCATGTGAGCAGAATGGATCTACCTTGCGGGGCTGTGCCTATGGAGGTTATCGTTACACTCTCGCGTACCAGTCCTGTTGATTTTCTCCTTCTCCTCAGCCGTCTGAAAGCAGTTGATTTACTCGTTGGATACATCATATATATCCCAGTGGCTTGAAAGGCTTGTGTTATTTTTACAAAAAGGGAGCGCTGCGCACGTCGTGTTCCGTTTTTTATGTAGCGGCCTGCGACCTGTACTGGTCACATCAACGCTCAGGGACCATGTCGCAAACCGGGACTGGAGCATGGGGGGACCCACTTGGGAGTCCAATAACGATATCCACTCAGTCATTAAAACCCCCAGGAATAACTTCTTACTCCTACCCGCACCCATCCCGCACCCATACCCTTCATTCCCCCGCTTTGCAGCACCCACCCAACCTGTTACCACCCACTTAATGAGGTAGCAGGTGTGGCTAGATATGGTTGCCCGAATATTACGTGCGACGATGCGCACATTGTACGCACCGTCTCTGTCATGATTCTGAATGTGTGTGATGTGCTTTGCGAATCAATTGAAAAACCTGTTACCCAGTTAAGATGAGTACCCCTGGCTTTACACAAGCTGCGCAGTACTCAGCGGAGCGCAGCGCAAGGACGAGGCGGGACGCTCACACTGCGGAGCGCAGCGCGAAGGCGGTCGGGACACTTACACTGCGGAGGGCAGCGCGAAGGCGGTCGGGACACTTACGCTGCGGAGGGCAGCGCAAAGGCGGTCGGGACACTTACACTGCGGAGGGCAGCGCGAAGGCGGCGGGACACTTACACTGCGGAGGCAGCGCGAAGACGGGCAGACACTTACACTGCGGAGGGCAGCGCGAAGGCGGGCAGACACTTACACTGCGGAGGCAGCGCGAAGGCGGGCAGGACACTTACACACTGCGGAGGGCAGCGCGAAGGGGGCAGGACACTTACACGCGGAGCGCCGCGAACGGGCAGGACACTTACACTGCGGAGGGCAGCGCGAAGGCGGGCAGGACACTTACACTGCGGGGCAGCGCGAAAGCGGGCACGACACTTACACTGCGGAGGGCAGTGCGAAGGCGGGGCGGAAACACTTACACTGCGGAGGGCAAGCGCGAAGACGGTCGGGAACACTTACACTGCGGAGGGCAGCGCGAAGGCAGGCAGGACACTTACACTGCGGAGCGCCAGCGCGAAGACGGGCAGGACACTTACACTGCGGAGGGCCACGGGGCATTCCTCCCTGGATCGTCGGCCCCCACGCCCTCAACCTCCTTCACGGGGGGAGGGGCGAACGCTGCGCGGGATGTCTGTCTGGCGGACAGAGACGCGGCGTCCGTTACCTTTGGACAATCGCAAGGATTGACAGACACGGCTGGACGGGGCTCTGATGGATGATGATAACGGAAGGTGGGGTCTTGTGGCAACTTGGGCTTTCATGCAGAATTGTGTTCCAAAGTAAGGGAAGAGAGAGGGTGAGAGAGGTAGGGAGAGGAAAGAAGACAGAGAGAGAGATGAAGAGAGGAAAGAGAGATAGGAGAGGGGAGAGAGAGAGAGAAGTAGGAGTAGGAGATGGATAGAGAAGAAAGAGGGGAGAGAGAGAGAGAGCTGAATTGGGTTCTTAAGCTTTGTCGCATATATGCCACGCTGGCATTTTGCTTGTTTATGTCCGAAGGCACCATTGCTGTCACCAATACCCACGGATACCATTTTGTCACAAATACCACACTCAAACTGAATCGAACATTGTCTCCACTGACATTGACCCCTACATCGGCAGTGAGCAGCCCTCACAGTGACGGCGACATCCTCCTAAAGCCCTTCCCTTACCCTCGATTATTCTACAACCCTGACCCATCCCTGATATCTGCCTCTCCTAACAACGGCTGCACTCATACCCAGCACAGCCCTTACCCCAGCGCTTCCCTTCCTATAGCAGTCTTAATCCGGAACCCTCTCCAAACCCCGAGCCGATACCCAGACCCACCAGATCCCTCTCCAATCCCCACCGCGCCTGCTTTTCTCCCTGCGCGTCCCCTCTTCCCTCTCCCCCGCCCCGCCCTTCCCCTAACTTTTCATCGTCCCTGCGGAAACCGGCGTGATACAACACTGATACAGAGCGTTCTTCTGCCGCTGAGGTACCGGGCTCCTTGGTCTGACGTGACCCTTTCCTCCCCTCCCCTGACCTCTCCCTCTCCCTTCCCCTCCCCTGACCTCTCCCTCTCCTCCCCTCCCCCTGCCCCTGACCTCTCCGTCTCCTTCCCCTCCCCTGACCTCTCCCTCTCTTCCCCTCCCCTGACCTCTCCCTCTCCTTCCCTCCCCTCCCCGACCTCTCCCTCTCCTTCCCCTCCCCTGACCTCCTCCCTCTCCTCCCCCTTCCCTGACCCTCTCTCTCTCCTTCCCCTCCCCTGAGCTCTCCCTCTCCTTCCCCTCCCCTGACCCCTCCCTCCCTTCCCCTTCCCGTCCTCCCAATCCTCTCCCACTAACCCCCCCCGCCTCTACGCCCACTGCCATCAGCCTGCAGAGACCCAACACTTACACAAGGCGCTCTCCTGTTGGCTGAGATACTGCGCCCCGCGGGCATGTGACCCTCTCGCGCCTCCCGCAGCAGCGTAACGGTGGCGCTCTCCGGCCGCGGCAGGTAGGAGGAGCCACTTGCCGGGCCCCGGCCCGGGCCGGGTCCCGCTGTGGGACCTCCGGCGAACGCCACGCGAACGACTCGGACGAGGCGCGGCGGCGGCGGTGGCGGTGTCGCCTGCGGGCACGGAGCGGGTCAACGGGGCGACGCAAGGCGGAAGGTTCAAAGGTCATAAAGGTCATGACAAGGAGTTGAAACTGTTCATCACCGTCTGACCCGTTCACACAACACGCAGTCCAAACCGAGAACACAACAGGCATTTCAAAGATCATCGGAAAGAAGGAAGTGGAGCGTGTCGGAGAGCGTGAGTCGGAAGCGTGAGTCGGAGAGCGTGAGTCAGAAGCGTGAGTCGGAGAGCGTGAGTCGGAAGCGTGAGTCGGAAGCGTGAGTCGGAAGCGTGAGTCGGAGCGTGAGTCGGAGAGCGTGAGCCGGAAGCGTGAGTCGGAGAGCGTGAGTCTGAGGACCACCGGCGTCGTGAAATGACATCGCAAACGCACACGCTAGTTCTCAGACGCGCAGGGTCAGGGTCGATGCAGTTCACGTCTGAAGGAGACTCGTGCACACATAGCGCGAATACCTCCATCTCAGTTGCCCATAACTCAACTAACCCAAGAGCTGGTAGAGCTGGTCCGTCACATTCATTCCGATCGATGCTCAGCGCCAATCCACGACTTACCGTTTTCTTTCTTTCCAGGCTACTGCTGTCGTAGTTGATGGCTCTGTATTGCTTCCGTTCCGTTGTGGGACTCGCTGAAACAGTGCAACGACCTCCGGTGCTCAGCCATGATTAAGACAGCAACTCATCGTGAATAAAAACAACACGATGCTGAGTGGTCCCCACGGAACAAACGCGGCTGTGGCGTTCAAAGTCAGATCTTTGCCGCAATCAAATCAGATCTTCAACGCAATCTGAGGCATGCATGCTTATGGAAGATTGTACTAAGTGAGTTGTCATGTAGCCGATCTGCGATAGGCACGATGTACTGGGTAAACGACGCTGTTAAGCAAACATCGATGTATTCATGGGAAGTCGATGTTTGGGTGCAGTGCTCACGTTGTCTCGTGACCACGACCATTGCATCGGCACGTCTAGTTATCACATGGGCATCAATGTTTTCTTAACAACGTCATTTAACCAGTGCCTGCTGGTCTATTCGACGTCGGTTGTGCTCAACATAAAAATATTAATAATTAAAAGTCACGGGTTGAAGGTCTTTCTTGTATCTTCAAGCTAGTTTGTTTCATCGAATGCTCTAGAGGAGCACAAAAAATGTGATCAAATCGACTTTCTCTGCGTAATCATTCAACAAGACCGCAATTTCCCGCACTTTGGCGTTCATACAGGACGGAAATAGCACGCAACGAAGACTCTGAGAGCAATTAGAAAACAATAATATCTCCCTCGAAAAGGAATATGGTATGGTGGACTGAATCATAGTGATAGAGCCAACAGCCAAAATTATTTAAAGCCGATAGCAAGGATATGACCGATTAGAAGCTCATATTCACACGCAATCTCAACGACGAACCTAAATTCCCTAGAAAATGTCGGAGGAGGTCGACACAACGTAACAATACAACATCATCAAAACCAACATTCTCACGTACATTTGGGGGTCCAGACCGGCTCCTTGATGTTGAGCGGCTCGTCCTGTGGTTTGGCCTTGACCTTGACCTCTGGCAGCGCTGAGGTCGCGGGCGGGGCCTGACCCGCTGCCACACTCCTGTGGAAGCATCGGGTCAGGTCAATGTCGTGTCGGAGTAAACGTGACTGCATTTATGGTCAGTGGTAATCTATCGGATGGACGATGGTCAACGACCACACTTCAATCCGATTTAACCTTTTTAATTAGACTTGCCACATGCACGAAAGTAGGCACATTGTTGTCGTCACGCAGGCGTGGGCACATGGCCACAGACGCAAATGCGCGCACACGAACACACGTACTTACGCCATGCGCAGGTTAGAGCCAGTATTTCGTCTTCCAACGTCAAAGTAGCGCGCAGGCAAAAGCACAATAGTTGCAAACTATCTGACAGCAAGCCAAGCCATAAAGCCATAACGAAGAAGCTTTCCTGTTGCTGGATTATTTATGCAGGCTAAAAATATTTGACGGCAGTCATTCTACACCTAAAATGTCTATGAATGTACCTATGTCGCCAGGGAACGAGCCTTATAAAACACTACCATTTCTCTTCGTATTCGCTCGTATGCTATCGGTGCTGAGTTATCTTGATTACACACATTTCAGCAATACTGAACATGACATGAGAATAGAATGTAACGACCGTGAGTGGGAGGAGTATTTGAGGGAGAGAGAGAGAGAAATAAAGAAGAAAGAAAAAGAAAGAAGAAAAGAAAGAAAAGAAAGAAAGAAAGAAAGAGAAAGAAAGAAAGAAAGAAGAAAGAAAGAAGAGAAGGAAAGAGGAAGAGATGGAACAAAATGCGTAATCCCGTATGCACTGGGGTTGAAGTTCTCTTTGAATTCATATTTTTGCTCCTTCTACGAGAAACAAAATAGCATAACCCTGGCGAGCTCCGTACCTTTACTTCGTCTTTTACTCCGTTTCAACAAAAAAAGAACTGTTGTCACTACCACACTGGGCGCAATGGAAACATTAGAAACAGGAGCACACACACACATACACACATGGAGCATTTCGTACGTTTCCATGGTAATGCCCCCCCCCCCCCCACACACACACTCTTCGCACCACGACCACAAAGCACCACACACACGCAAGTTGCATGCCTCTACGCATGCATAGCAAATAAAGGCTCAAGTCATGCCAGATGAAGCAAGGAAGCATTGCAATACTGATGATCAGCAAGGAAATGAGGTCATGCATTGTAAAGGTCAAGATCCCATCCAGCGCTCACATTCAGCGAGGGATCGGGCAGCCGGCTCGGTATTTTTGCGTATGCAGTGGGTAGCACCCCATTACAAACCTTCACAACTTAAATGGCCTTTCCCCAATATACGGGCAGCCCGATGTGTCATGTCTCGTGACCGCTACACGTCCCCATTTGGTTGTACCCGTCGCTTACCCTTCCATCTACCTTGTCAATAAGGTCCACTTTTTCTGGTGTGCCCTTGAAGATTCCACCCTTATAGTCCGTGCATTCTCTTTGAATACGCGTGCGGATCCTCATAATCGTCTGTGAATATGTATCCGACCCGCATGGATATGTATCCGACCCGCGTGGGTATGTATCCGACCCGCTCGTTGCTGAGCCTACACGCGAAGCCGAAGGTCACCTGTGCGGGGGCAACCGGAACGGTTGGACTTCAACGTCACATGACCTGAAGCGGCAGTGACCGCAGGAAAGTCGGATGAGGGGCATCGCTGAAGTCTGCCCACCAATCAAAACGCCACACCTAAAATCTGTCCATGAATCGGAGCGCGCACTGAAACCTGTCCACCAATCAAAACCCATGCCTAAAATCTATCCACCAATCAGAACCCACACGTAAAATGTTTCCCACCAATCAAAAAGGCACAACTGTCTAACGCACAGAAGTCCAAATCGTGCTGACCAACTCCATGTACCTATCAGCAGGCGCGGTACGCGATATTCAACAACTCTGGGTCAGGGGTTTCGGCCTACCATCCCCTCTGGGCCGGGCACAAGCGGGACCGGAAAATCGCATTTTCTCGCCTGACCCTCACCAGGGCTACGTGACCTGGCCTTGAACTGTGGCCGGATTGCAGACCCGTACTCGCCCTGCGGAGGTTTCAGACACGGGTAATGGGGTCAAGGACAACTGGACAGGATGGATGAACGGCTGTGCTGATCCGAACCAAATAGGACAGGAACCAAAAACAGGAAAAAAGAACCAAGAAAAGGAACGAGCGAAAGAGCAGAAAAGCTGTCCCTGTAGCGTGAAAAGCTAGCACCAGTCACGAAATTCATAACTCGCATTTGATGCGGATTTGTAAAGGGCAACTGAAATCACTTAAGTCGTTTTAAGATGACTCGCGGAACGAGGTCGAGGGGGGTTCACGAATGTCGAATATTTTATAAAGTGAATGTAATGTGGGGGGTACGGATAGAGACAAGAAAAAAGTCCAGAGAGCGCTCCGAATAATCCTGCCGGTTCATACGTCATATGCAAGAGGCATAAACATAGGGCAACGAAAGCAGACGGAGCGCAGCAAAAGAGATGGTGTAATATGAAATAAAAAATGAGCAGGCAGCTTCTTACCCCGATACGTAAGCGTATCCTCTATAGCTGTCATAAGATTCTGCCGCGATATCGGCGCTTTCAGAGGCGACACTGCTGACAACAAATCGGAGTTGCGTGGCAACATCACTCGTGATTTGAGTAAAAACACGTGATGGAGGCTGCCGCTTTCTGTTGCTGGGACTAGAGCCAAATGGAATCGTACTCCTATTTGTATTCAGAGTATCCAAAAAGGCGACAAAGATGTAAAATATCATCCTTAGAGGAGATTGTGCGGATATAAGTGACTTGAATAGCGCAAAGAGAACAACACTCTTGCGACCAGGCAAAAAAAAATGCAAGCACAGGAATGCTTGAGCAAAACCTGAGGCCAGGAAGCCACCTCGCCTGCGTTTTAAAGGCATCACTTTATACAATGTTTCGCTTTAAATGGCCAAATCAGGAAGAAAGCTGAAACAGATATGACATAACACAGTGCAAGCAGACAATCAAAACGCCGCCCACAAAAGAGTTATCCAAAGTCGAGCAAAAATCGCACGCCTTACCCAGGGTCGTATTTTTGGTTGAGTGCATTGTCGATCTCCTTTAGCAGAGGACTGGTCTCTGCTTCGATGAAGGACGTGACCGATTCGTGCACGCTCCTTAGTTCTGGTGGTGCAGCCCACACAAACAAGCACACGTGCCCACGTGCATGTTAAAAACCGGCATACCAACAAAACAAACCGACGGCCGTGGTTTCTGATGTCTTATTCTCGGTGACATCAGACCACTCTTAATTAAGGTTGGTGCGACGAAGTGCAAAAAACAAGTCATAACCAATGATTAAAAGAATAAATGACGTCACACAACACAAATGACATCAAACGCGTGCATAAACACAGCAATGTGCGTCAATGCCACTCACACGTGGTTACGGTGAGAAAAACACATCCAGAGGTAATATCCAAAGTTTGCACCGTGCTTAGTATCAACAGGTGGCAGTATTGCTGAATGCAAAACGAGTTGCCCAAACCACTTGACATTGCTTCAAAATGCATCATGCAACACCATGCTATGGGGACAACAAGGACTGCTCCCTCTAACCAATTCTGAATTATATGCCCGGAGTTACGTTATTTTAATATGAAATGGTTAGAGTAAATACAAATTAAGGCTGTGAGTACTAACGCTTTTACAGGACTCCTCCCCACCCCTCCCCTCCCGGTCAGGGTACTATGCTCCATGGCCTAAAGTTTAGTGCCAGAGACAAGATATAAAATGTTTCACGAACTGAGCTACCGATAAACGCATCCTTGTTACTAAATTTAAGGTGCATACAAACCCCTTGTCTTTTTTAGGAATATTTGTTCTGAATGCCACAGCTTTCGTCCAAATTTAATAATTGGGTCCGAATTTTCTGAAGTCTTTTAAGAGGTTTAGTGCCACGCGTTATGCGCCGATGAAACGTCTAAATGATTCCTTGTGACGCTTTATAATTGAAGCGCCAAAAAATTAGCTTCCACACATTAGAGAGGATGTTTGGAGAATACCTTGTCATTGCTAGAGAGGCAATTTCACCATCAAACGCAATGCATCACCAGCCCATATCATGGTTGATGCCATTTATTCAAATTAATTTAATGGCATATTCCGTCCAAAAAATACCATCACATCCTTATTTTTCTATCATGACGCACTAAGAATGCAAAGCAGTATGCCGGTCATTTCATTCCTCTCGTGCAGTGCCCGGCCAAGTCACGGCAACTTCAGCAAAGCATCCCCAAATCGTTTCTCATGTTCGAAACGCAGCGAGCCAGGCGTCACAGCATGTACCTTTAGAAGCGTCATGGGGGCAAACGGCGGCCAAGGTCATGGGTCAATCAGAATCAGTAACGACGAACATTACGGTCAGGGACGGGACTCAACCCATCCTTCTATTTGGAGGAGATTCCTGGCAGCGATGACTTCTCAGTGATCTTTTGAGCGAAAAATTTCGGATTATGGGCATGCAGACGAAAGAGAGACGATAAGGTGGAGTGTTCAAACGCAGAAATCACTAGAGAGGCGGGATTCAGGAACTTGACCAGATGTGGAAGGCCCCAGAGAAGTCTCTAGCCGGCCCCAGAAGCCTCAGAAATAGCCCTACTGGTCCGGAGCAGTTCCCGCACCGACCCACCTGCCCGCGTGCCAGCCAGGTCAAAGGCCAGTTGATCCAAGATCACTCACCTTTCCGACGCAGCGACGGACTTCTGCTCAGAGATTTGGGACTAGGTGGCGGCAGGGGTGATGACGTCACACCGCCAGACGGCGCTGCGGTCGACTCGGCCGCGGGTTGCGCGATTTCTCCTGCAACAGAAGATGCACGGGGTAACGGCGGGTGAATAAGCATGTTTTTGTGCTGTGTTTGCACTCGTGCTCCTTCCTTGTTTGTCATGTGTATGACTTAAGGTGACTTTAATTACGACTAAATTGACGCACCATTGTATGTTGCATGATTAACCAAAAGTATGGAATGCATGGGTCAAACAGCATGAAACATAACCACTA